TTTTTTTTTTCATTACACCGCTTTTTCCTTTCAGTTTTAAGTTCTACAGTAATATTTTATTGACTTATCATAAAAATTTTTAGTGCTGTAGTCGAGAATACTGGTGGTATTCAATTGCTTAGTGATACGATCGAAATCACTTTTACAAAATACTCCAATTAAATGGTACATTAAAAAATTATTTTTTCTTGTCTTTTTTTATCTATTCAAATAAAAAAAATTATTATCATTATTTTCTTCTTTATTGTTTTTACAAAAATTATTCAACTTTATCTACAATTTTACTAATTTAAAAACAGTGCTAAGAGAGAATTGTAAAAAGGGGAGGGTGGGGAGGAAAAGCAGAAGAGGAAAGAAGGGGAACAGTAGCAAAAAACAGGAGGGGCCGGTGGTGGGAGACGAGTGGATAATGAAGACTAACGTTATGGGGATAAACCACTTGGTACGTAATTAATTATTCATTTTTATTAGAGTTCTTTGAAGAGCCACTAAACTTTTGCAAACATCTATCTTGAAAACAGTTAAATTTCTTCTAGTTAAACATACTTCACCATGAGAAGGAACAAATCTGTGACAGATATTATGTAGCAGGAAATAGATCTTGAAACTGATTCAATCACTTCAGTTACTTCATTTTGTTGCTCAAGTTGTTTGTCACTGTTTCTGGTGTCGTCAATACTGTCATTGCTGTTCAAGCAGATTCATCTAAACTTAATCTAATCTGCTTCATTTATTGACCTCAGCTTTATAAAGCTATATTCAGATACGGTATCTGGTGTATGCCAATCAATCATTATCGTAATTTTTTTTTGTTTCTATACCGAAAAAATCACAGTGTCGATTTAAGACAAATTCAGTGGTATTTTAATTGAAAAGACACTAGCTTTGTGACTATATTTTATAATAAAAATAAATTTTTTCTAGAAGATAACAAATACAGAAGAAATACTGATTGTATAGGATCATATTAGAAGCTGAGCATCTAGATAAGCAGAATAATTTAGTATAATCAACACAGCGACACATAACGACACTCAGATAGATACACATGAAGATTATAGGCGAAGTGTGACCTGCATCTATATGCGTATAGATACAATTTGAGGATTTCCTGCTGACTTAAATTCTAATCCTCTTTAGCCTATTCACCACTTATACAATAATTTACTCGTTGTTGCCTAA